TTAGCAATATTCAATTTTAGCGATGTCAGCACCATCTCTAATAATGCCAAAATTAAATCCTCGCTAAAATTTCTACTTATACAGAGTGTTCTCCAAAGTACATTTATGCACAATAAACAAGAAGTATGACACATTTGATTTTAGATATTATCTGTTTTAACCAACTAGAGCTAGAGCAGTATAATCCAAGTGTTGTCCACAGACAGATGGACAAACAAACAGGGTGATTCCTATATCCCCCTTCCAAATATTTGATATTAAAATCTTAAACTTAGTAAGAAAATGTTTTTTAGTTCACTGCTTTAAGAGCCATATCAGAAATCTGATTCAAATTGTTCATGTTCCCTTCAGCTGTCAAGTCATTTTCTTCACAGTCAGTGTTAGACCTCTGCCTTTTCACCAATGGCATCAAGATACATAATCAAGGACTTCCTTCTATGTAATGGACTATCTTCATGCTCTTGAGAATCCTGGCATTCAGATCAACTTTCAAAAGGTATTTGGAAAAGTTGTCGTCTGAAGTTGATTCCACCTACAAAAGAAAGATACAAAATCAATCCAACTAACAACTTCATTTAAAACAAGTTCATTTTGACACAAATAATACTCAAGCTGAGACAGTGTTTCACAGCCCTGAGCCAAAGTCACACCTTCAATGTCAAGGTCAAGGTAAAATTTGATGGCGTTTTCAGGTCTGTATTTCTATATGCCTCATGGAACAGCTTCATACTTGGCATACAATGCTCCTAATGATAAGGTGGTGTGCCATGACCCTAACTCAATGTCAAACTTCAATGCTAAGGTCACAGTAGACTTCAATGAAATTGTCTTATCTGAAATGCATTTCATACCTGCCTCAAAAGCACAGCTTACATGACACAAATGTGCCTCATGATATCAGTCTTTAACAACCTTTGACAGAAGACCAGGTGAGCAATATGGGCCCATTTTAGGCTTCTTGTCTGGGTTTAAAATATGAAGTTCATAGGTCAAATGGATTTAAGTTATTGAGTCACAATCCTTTCAAGTTTGAAGTTTCCAGGACATATAGCATTTGAGTTATCTCTCAACAAAGAAATGGATGAACAAAGTGATTACCGGTACTCTTTGAGGCTGGGCTCTTAAGGGGGATGTACAAGCCATATTGGATCTAGTCTAGTGTGAAATAAGAAATACCAAGAATGCGCTTAATACTCTACTAAACTAGCCCAAAGTTACTCAAAGTGCTAATGCACTAATTACATACTGTTAGAGACCAAAATTAGTAATGTTTATTTTGTTTTAATTAGGAGGAAATTAATCATGTTAGAACTGCGCAGCTACAGCATTCACGAGATGAAAAATGCATTGAAAATGGTGTTAGTTTGATTCATTGATAATATGGCTACAATCATTTGTTTCGCTTTTTTCTTGTCATTATCCATAATTCTTGAAAATTTGATTTTTCATATGGGTGTCTTCCTGAGGCCATGTGTTTATTTCGTCCGCCATTCCTCTGTAACACAGAGTTCGAATAACATTGATTTTAGAATAAATGCGACCCTAATAACATCAAGACAAGAAATTACTAAGTTATAATCATTAGGTAATATTACTTACTACTTTTATTTGTTGCATCGCTTCGTCTGATTAATGAAAAAATGCGATTTTAACCCCACTCCAGCAAATCGGGAAAAACTGTTCTGTTTATAGCTCGAGTTTCCTCGTTAATATTATTACACTGAGCACGTGGTTGGCATGTGCATATATCTGCTTTGGATAGATGCGTTTATTACCATGGTTATATTTAATTTTTCATGGAACAAGTCTTGATAATTTGTTGGTTTCTTTAAAACTCAAGAAAAAAGATAAAAAATGTCCTAAACATATGTGTTTACGTCGGGTCTTTTTTCTGTGGCGATAGAAGTTATTTTGAAATGGGGCACTGCAAGGAGGATGCTTAGCATTTAATTTGAAAATGTTAAACAATATGCGGTGCATGAAAAACAAAGTGTAATTACATGTCTACATTCGAAAAGTTGGTACATATGTCTATTTTGTTTAGCAGTTAGATAGAAAAAATAGGCAGCTATAGGATTTCCTTCAGGCACCTCACATAAATAGCTTGATTGTTTGCAATGACCCACACATTGTATGGAGTAATGTTTGGACATAAAAACGCCTCATGTCTCATTATGTTGATAACGTTTTAAGCTCTCGCTCATTGAACATACGAAGCTTGATAAAATATATTGAGTTGTTTCTTTGAAATTTAGAAGCAAGCTCAATGTTTGTAAAGAAAGGTCCATTGCATATGATATGTCTATCATCGCAAAAAATGAGAGGCTACCCCCCCTCCCCCTCGAAAATCCTTGTGTTCTTTTTTCAAAATAGTGCCAAAGATTCAAAAATTTTGCATTACTAAGTATGTGATGGAACATGTACTAGCCTTATAAGACCATTTGTTATAAAAATATTTGGTTGCCCTCTCTCCCGATCTACTGCCTAGAAATGGCCCGACTCAATTTTATTTTACATCCAATTACACGATATTTTTTTTTTCTTCCGTCAATAAATATGTCTAAATTTTTAAAGAAAAAATTTCTCACCTATAAAAACGGACCCAGTAATTTTTCCCAGAGTTGGGAGGACCACCAAACGTCATTTTAAAGATGGTATAAAATATTTAATTATGTTGATTTTTTTCTTTACTATGTAAAATTGTAATTTTGACAAAATGGGCAAATAGAAAAAAAAAGTTTTTTATTCATTAAATCTCCTAACCCACTCTGAATGATTTTATTCCTTTTCAAATGTTGCTCCGCTGTAATAAAAATTGTAAATGTTTATTTGACAGAGTAAGGGGGGGGGTGATCAAAAAGTAAACGATATCTTAGGTATTTGATAGTTATATTATTGTTGAAATATTCAAGTATTTTTCAAAGTGTAAATTGGAGATCTTTGGTAGCATATTGCTTAATTAAAAACACACCCCTTTTCAAACTTGCTTTCACCGGGCAACATAACAAGTATCATATTCAACCATCTGCCTTCCTTCACTAAAACGATCAATCCAATCATTGATTGAATTATTAGGAAGTCATTTGTCTTAATAAACTATGAACAAATTCTTATACGCTACTTCAAAGGCATTTTTAAGATATACCATAAATATTTTAGTCGTTTGTTGAACGAGTTCCACTGAGACAACCATTTTTCGTCACAAGTACCTGCATAATGACGTCATTTTCACATTGTGAGCAAAACTTTATTCAGCATATGCTATATATAGAACTTGTGTTTGCCCCAAATTTGTTTCTAATCTAAATTGTGGTTTTGTAGATAAAGAGATAGTTCGAGAACTTTTTGATCACCCCTCGTACTAGTAGGTACTAACACAAGGTCATTCATATCGATTTTATGTGTTTAATTTCTTTGTGTTTCATTGGTGATAATTAAACTTTTGATAGATATTATATTAAGTTATCTGTGGCAAACTTACAAACTCTTAATTTTTAACTTTGATGGTGCTCATTTTTCCTTACCTGGAATCAAAGAGTTTGTATCAATACGTACACTATTTAACAACTGTTCGATAATGATACTAAATAAATTACTTCAAGCCACACTATAACACATTTCCTCTTTTAAAGGTGTTCATATTATTTGAAACATTTTGCAACTCTAATTCTCTTCTACGTTTAAAGATTGTTATGTCCCTCCATATTAAGAAGAGGTCTGGAAAACAAAATTCTGTGCTAAAAATAGACCACGTGCTGCTATCAATGAACTACTTTCATGGTTCTTTACACTCTTTTTGAAGACAACGATACCTTGTTTTGAACTTGAAATTATCATTTAAAAGTGCAAAATTTAGGCATCTTCTCAACAAATGGTTGTAGAGAGAACATTAATGCACAGTTTGCGTATTTTTTTGGATTTTTTAAGGCTCTGCTGAATTCTGTAGATGCGCAGTTCTAAGGAGCATATCAAAAGCATTTTTCTGCAAAAGTATAGATTATATATGCACAACATGCATTCAGTTATGCATATTTATTGTATCTTTATCATAAAGACTTAAAATTTGATCAAAATATAATGTACTTTAGCCATTTGAAGAAATGTTTACATTTTGTTCTCACTGCACTAAAGGTGGCCGTACATCCCCCTTAAGAACAAGCTGGTGCTCAAAGTAGTTCTAAACAATTCAGTACAGCAGTGTTTCTGCTAATTTTTAAAACCAAGGGTCATTATGACCCTTTGATATAAATTTTTGGGGGTCAAAAAGATTTTTTGAGGGTCAAATAAATTCTGGTTTTGCTTTCAGTTCTAACATTAGCTCTGCCTTCTAAGATCATATTATTGATGTTTAAAATTTAAAAAAAATGAAAGTAAAATATAAATAATACATGTATACTTCTTTTATTTACCGGTACACAGTTACATTTTTACCGATTACTTCATGAGGGTTTCGTGAATACCTCAATCAAAAGATAACAACTGAAAGTGGTTGACTGCTTTACAAAACTGTTTATTAATGATTTGAACTTTCCTCACCTTTTTATTACCATAATTAGCCTTAATTAGCCTATTAGACAAAGCCAAGCTGATAAAAATATGCCGATGTAAGACTGAACTTGCTGAAAATGCTGAAGCGCCATTTTTATCTACACTTCCGGTTTTGTTAAGAATAAGATAAGTCGTACGAATTAAAGAATATTTCATAGATTGTTTACGTGGAAATGCCGATTTCAATCACTGCCACTTTGAAATTAAACTAAAAGCAATGATTAATTCCTAGAAAGTTGTCCAGAATATAAATTAAACATATAAAATATCTTTTTCTATGAAAAAAATCAATATTGAAATGGATTTTTAAAACTTGTTTTCATATTTTTTCTGCGTCATTATGACCCTCTAGGTGACGTTTTTGGGGGTCAAAAGTAATTTTTATGCGTAAAATACGCAGAAATATGCGTTAACGGAAACACTACATGTAAAAAATTCAGTACAAACTCTATTTGTTCCATATGCTTTGAATCTGGTTGTACTTCATGGTTATTTGGTAGTTTACATAGCAGCTCATCATCATCATGATTCTCCTGAGAGTATTTCATATCTGTTTACAAATTTACATGACCCTACTGCATATAGTTGCTGATTCTTTATAATAAACAAGCTGATGCTAAAAGTAATTTAATGCCCCAGGCATCAACAAATATAGAAAAGCTAGTTTTAGCAAAAAGATCAAGGTCTAAAGGTTACTGATGTTGGTGTAATCTAAAAGAACTTAATTAGTGGATTATGTATACCAAATATGATCTCACAGTTCAAAAGTCATGGTAAAGGTTAAAGCTGACAACAGATAGACAGAAAGGACAAATAAAAATATGTTCATGCTCTTTGGGCATAATAATTCAGTACATGTAAAAATTTCAATACAAACCTTTATTTGTTCCACATTAATTGGATCTGCTTGTACTTCATGGTTATTTGGTAGTTCACATTGCAACTGATCATCATCATGATTCTCCTGAAAATATTTTAGACCTGTTTACAAACTTACTTGAGCCTATAGCATATATAGTGACTGGGATATGATATATTAAGACATTAAACTGGACAAAGGGGATACTCCAATACTTGATATCGCGGTTACTTAACTTAGTGGAACTCTTTCGCGATGGAGGTAGGGAACGTCTGTTGGCTTGGGACAAATGTGCTATTGAATACAATGCAAGATCGATCATTGTAGAATTTTTGAGGACAGATAGAAAAAAATCCTAGTGGAATACCGTCCTTAACAATCGCTGAACCAGCCTAATTAATTTTTGAGAGGAGCTAATCCTTCAATGTTACATTTTTTACGATATTTTTAACTAAGCGGGCTCTTCTCATTAAATTTTCATTGAAAATCATGGCATTTTAAAGCTGATAAAATAATCTAATTTTCCTTATTTGACAATAGTACTATTTGGAATTCAATTCTTGGCAATACATTGTACTTTCGGCATAAAATTGTTCAAATCATTCGATTGTCACTACTGTAAACAATGCCATTGTGCCCCTGTAATCTCGTGATTTTAGAGCTTTGGACTCCCCCGCAAAAAGTGGTAGTAAGTTAGATAACTGCGAGGTAATCGCGATATTACATATTTAGTCTCACATTTTCAGAATTATGAATTTAAATTGTGCCCAACCTGATCAAGGGCTTAGGAGGAATAGCACCCCACCCACTCCTTACTTTTTTTGGGAAGTCAAAATTTCCTGTAGTTAAAATTTATAAATCAGGTGGAGAATATAGAATCCCCTTACACTTTAAGGGTCAGGAGCAAATTTTGAAACCAGAGTTGAGTCTGTTTTAATTTCCCTGTCCCCAATCAATATTAGCAACCTCAAGTTTTAACCAAAATTGTCTTTAATTTAGCTGCAGAACTGTAGCTCTATGAAAAATATATCTTGATAGACCTGAGATAATGAGGTATAGTGGGTATGGCTATGAATTTTAAAAAATATTGTTTGAAATATTACTTATCAAAAGAACACTAATACGCAGACATACATGAGTGGAAATCTAAAATTTGACCTTATCAAAGTGATTGATGAATATGCTCTAAATAATAAAGGGTCTGAAATATCTGGCATTTTCCAGTTTTTTTTTTAATATTTTCTGTGCCAGGAAAACGTCAGAACCAGCGCCATTACGAAAACTGGAAATTTCACCATTAAAAATTTGAGTTGAATTTCCCATATTTTGTGCATTAAATGCCAACAAGTTTCTATATTACACAATGCTTTTAGTAAGTTCAAATATCAAGGAAAATAATGACTCTTTCATTTCGATACAGGACTTGTATATTTTTTTTTAATTTGTAAACTTCACGAAATGTCAAATCTCGACAGTCAGAGAAAATGTTTTCATCGGATCATATATTTACAAACAAACCATAAAAAGCTATATTGGTAAATACTAGAGGCATTGTACTATTGATAAATTGTGATTATTTACAAGTTAATTGCAAGTATCGAAAATACACCCGAGAATGCCGCCTTTTAGGCTTTTTCGTAAAGGCGCCGGTTCTGGCATCTTTCCTGCACGTAAAATATAGAAATATTTGGAAAGCCAGGAAAACGTCAGATATTTCGGACTATAAATAAACTTTCATTACCTACAAACTCTTGATGCTGTCCTGTATCTGTAACTGCACAAGACCTTTTTTAAACATAAAATACATCACACATGGTGTTTTTCTTCTCCGATTTCTGCTGCAACAGCAACTTTCTGTTCTTTATCAGCAGGAGAGTTCCACAAAAGGGAGATAATCGTTCACGCGTTTTAACTATTTCTAGTACATTCTAAATCAAATTATTTGCTATTTTTACAGTTAAAGTACCCAACTACCATTTTTTATTATTGAATTTATAACTTCAAAGCTCGTAGTTTCTATTGCATATGGTTATGATAGAGTTTGGTTGCGTTTTCGTGTAAAATATTTATAAAAATCATGTTGATTTTACAGCATTTGGTAGAAACAAAGCAAAGTAGGCCCCAGTTATGCTTTCAAATAAACATGGGAAAAATTAAATCTCCCATGTATATTAAAATTAAGAAAAACATAGTTTGATTCTGTAATTAATTTTAACAGGGTTATCAATAATCAAATTTCACACTTTTCAAGCATTAAAATCGCCGTTGCTATGGTAACATCAGGAAGATGTGACCCAAATAACTCATGTTATGAAAGGACATTCATCTATACTTCCATGCACCCAAATATTAAAGCAAAATATTTTTTTTCACATTCCACTCACTTTATATACAATACTCAATGGTTACTGACACGGCCTCTTAAACACTAAAAAATATTTATTCTTTAGACATACAAGTAGTATGAAACTGCCCTTGTACTGGGACTGACTGCACAGAGGTAACACAGGCCGTGTTACAGACAATACCTCTCTGGTGACAGGCTTGTTGAGGCTAAAAGACTGTCTTTTCTCTTGAACTGGTAAGACCTGAATAAGGCACACAGTTTTGGGGGATAGGCAGTGAGGGGTCACCAATATTAGCTAATATATACCTGAATAAGGCAGTAGGCTGATGGAGAGAGAGGTGGCATACCACAGAAATGGGGGAAGTGCCAAGATGCAGCAGTACAAAAGAGTGGCATTAAAATTCATTGCGGGAGACACCCGTTGACCACAGAGAGATAGGTTATCCAATAAGAAGAAACCCATTGTATTATATTTGTGTATATTTTTCATTTGGTCAACAAAAACCTGAGTTAAAAGGTTAACGAAAAAGTGTAACGCTTCAGTGATACAACACACATCACCAGCACCAAGCTGTGCCGCGTTGCACGTTACATAAGTAACAAATAATTATGAAAAGGAAAGCACATCATTTCATTACAGATATCACAAAAATCTACACACGATCACACGATCTACAACACGTACATCTTTGACTAATTAGACATATTTCATCAAGATATTACACTATTTAGTAGGCAACTAAAGATTTCTTAGGATTTTTGCATTCCTTCAAAATGGTTACATACCATTCAAATTATTACAGTAAGTTGTATACATTGTAATTTCATTACACAAGGTAGTCTTGGATTTGTCAACTTAATTAAGGTCAAGATCTAGTAAATGAAAGGTGCCTACTTACTAATTTTCACTTTATAGTATCAATTGCCATACCTCTAATAAATGGAGCTGAACGAAATAAAATTTACTTTTTTAATTTAGAACTTGCAGTTTTACTTACGATGCTATCAGGTAATGTAATATATCGCTCCGTTGAAAACATATCAGTTTATATTTACATTTCCAATGTCTTTGTCCAAGATAAAATTACAAATTGTAAATGTACTTTATTTCTCCAGTCAATGTAATGGCGCGGTTCCAAAAAAAACACGTGCAGGGTGGGACAACAGTGAGACAGATACAGGGCTTCGCAGCCCGTGGATCGGCGGGATCAAAGCATGTACAGATATAGGAATAACTGTCAGTTTTTTCAATTTCGTGACGATGATCAATCAATTGGCATGTGTCATAATTTTATGCATAAACGCCTTCGGCGTTTATGCAAATAATCACGCAAGCCAATTGATTGATCACATCATGAAATCGAAAATAAGACAGTTATTCCTTAACTAAATACATATGGATTTGATTAAAAAATGCACAAAAAAAAAAAAAAAAAACCATGACGTTGGAGGATATCACGGAGCAGCGAGTAAGAATAATTTTACTTTACATGCGGGGAATTTTTTAAATAAACTTACAAAAAAAAAACTGTATAAACTAGGAGATGTATGAAAACTAAGCCTCCATTTTATATAAAATGAAAAAAAAATTTTTTGAGTGGTAGCGAGTTTGGATCGGACGATGGATGGTCTGCAAAGAAACAGGTTATAGTTTAAAAATCTTGTCAAAAGAGTTAGGAAACTCATTGAACGTGATGTGCTTTCAGGATTGCGGAACTAATAGAGTTGCGCGGTAAAGAATTTGAAAGCACTGTCAATCTAGATCAAGCTATTTGCACAATTGTTAGCAAACTGTCTATGAAATTAAAAAGCAGAGTAATTTTGAGAAACTTTCTCAACGTTGCTTTTGACGTTAAAATGTTGATTAACCGAATTGTCTACGTACGTTTTGAATTACATGTACCCTCGTACATTTAAGAATTAAACAGCTGTCAATGATATCAAAATTTAATTTATCGTGAGAACATGGTTGTTTATATTGTTGAAAAGTCTTACGTTTTTATGCTGCTATCTTTTGGTAAATTTTTCTGAATTCAATTTTTAGAGTTCATTGTAATTTTTAAGTATCCACATCTGATTTACATTACTTCTCGAATATTTGATTGTGGATAATAATATTAAAACTTAGGTCAGACATGCAAAAGAGTATATAATAAAAAACATTGCATGTTCAAAATTGATTTAAAAACACTGTGGGTGTGACGGGTCTACCGAGAAATCTGACTCAACATGGCACCCACCGGACCACACTTCTGATGTTTTTAGAGGTCTCCGTTTGCTTTGCTCTCAAATTGTATTGTTTTAATGGATTTAGTGCATGAAAACTATTTTTCATATTTCGTTTACAGATTCGACAACTGTTGTTCATAGCTTAGCTAAGATGAGAAAAAGCCATATTTTTTATTCATGTGTACTACAGACAAACAGCACCTTGGAGCTAGTGAACCGAATGCAAGTCTTCATAAGAAACAGCGAGATAAATGTTTTATTTAACGAGGCCCGATCTACTTGATCTGCGCATACGTTTTAACGCAGCGTCGACTCAGACACGTCACAATACCCTTGACTGCCGTCACAGTTGAACACAATAACGTCACAATTAAAATGACGTCAAATTGCGCTAAAATGTTTCGCTGATCTTGCTTACCTAGTAGCTCTATAGACTGTGCATTGAAAGCTGGCATTTCTATTATCTTTTTTTTAAATATTTAAATAATAAACAACTTTGAAACCTAATTAATTTTGAGGGATCAATTTTGTGGTACAGATTCATAAATTTTATCTTGTTTTTTTTCAATTTGTGAGTTAAAAAAAAAACAAACACTGCAACGAAAAGTAAACGATTTTAGTCTTTCTCTATGAACATGTTTATACACGCTCTTTTTATTGCGGACTTAAAATGCATAGATTATCTTCAGTTTTAAAAATAAAATAAGTCAATTAATCACTTAAATGCAACCCCCAAAATATTTTATTTTTCTATATATTACATGATATTAGTAAAAATCGCAATTTTGTCGCCTTAACCCCCCCCCCCCCTCCTCCCTCTACCCCCTTTTTTTCCACGTAAAACAACGTCACGTGTTAAGAGAAAAATAAAGCATGGCGAGAAAATTATTTCATAATGTAAGAATAAATTATTTTTTAGAAACTAATACAGTATTGCAATCATTTGTTGGTATTATGTAAACCCATTACTACCTATAAAATACGTAGTTGGATAGAAAATCCAAATTTTGTGTTTTGACATGCTCCCTTTTCACTGCAATAAAGGCTACCTCCAATTTTCTTTTCATATTTTATATTAAGAAGAATGAAAATTGCATGATATATGTGAAAAACAAAGATTTTCATCATGTATTTTTTTTAAATTTGTAAATTATTTAATTTCTTTGTTTATTGAAGAGTTTTAGTATGTAATTGTTTATAAAAACACGACAAATGGTCCATATCTTGACAGTGCCCCCATTTCACTACAATAAAGGCAAGGTAACAAAATTTCATTCTAATTTTTCTAAGCATAAAACATACTTGTATATTTCCAAGAATTAAAATTTTTTATCATTCCGTTTTCGTAATTTTCAACTAGATCGGGCCTCGTTAAATGTAGAAAAATTCTCAAGCACACAGTAGTAAAAAGAAATCTTAATCTTTATATAAGACATCTGTAAATAGAATATCATGGTTTTCTTTTCATCATAATAGGTTTAAATGCAATTGATGATCTGTATTGAACTTTTATTTCCCGTTCCCTCATAAAGTTCCTAATAGCACTAACACCTTTTTCTTGAACAAGGAATGGACAATCTTCTCCAGACCATAGCAAATGGTTTATCTGTAAATCTTGAAGAACACTTATGTCCTACATACCCATTCTTCATAATTGCAGCTCGCACAAACTGCCAATAAGTCTTTCAAATTCAATGACATGACAACAAAACCTGATTTTGCTAGTTCTGTTGCCAACTCTTCGTTCTTTATAACGCAATTATGCATACGTCTATCGTTGAAGGTTGAAATATCATTTGGTATGTATGGATTTGCAGAAGTTGGGTTAACTGTAGGAATGTCATAATTATTTAATAGGTGTTGACAATCAGTATTCCAAAGGGCATGTTCCATAAGAATGGCACCTGATTCCAATTTATCCGTGTCAAATTGGCCAAATATAGCTTGATTACAAGCGTGGCAAGTGACTGTATCTGATATTCCAGCGTAAATGAATCCATCATCGGCCAATAATAGAATCTGGGTATCTTGAAATGGAGAATTTTTAAATGTTTCGATTCTTTTTGCCAAAGAAGCAAAATCTGTGGAACGTTTTTGAAAAAAAGTTGAGATAAATACTGCGTCCGATGTTATTGACCAAAAAAAGCAGATCATAATTTGTATGTCCCTGAACCTCACATT